TTGACGTTGCGAAGTGTAATAGAATTATCAAATATCTGTAATTTCAATTGCAAATACCTAAATCTTTCTAGTAAATAATTTTTTATTGTCATTTACAGTAAAGTAAACGAAAAATAAATATTACAAGCGTATTCTGCACGATTAACAGCAACGGAAACAATTCTTTTTCCTTGTTCATCTGTAACAAAAGGAAACACATTGTTACAGTTTTGGATTATTTTAGCAATAAACTTTTTTTACTAGTATTTGATCCGTAAGTCTTTTGCTTGTATGACGTCCCCGATGCGTCTTGGCATGCTTTCTACAAAGTATCGACAAAAATCCAGATGAATTTCTCCATTGCTGCTCGATTCTTTGCTGGAGTTGGGTGATCGATGATCAGCTTCGTACGAAGTTTGCATTTTTTTGTTTGTTTTAAGAATATGCATACATGTATAATTTTGCCGTTATTATAAACGATAGACAAAATGAAGATGTCACGACAGAGATATCGAATGAAACGTAGAATCGATGTTAAATATTAAATATTAAAGCGAGAGTAGAATATAAAGGAAGCATCATCTTCTTGACTGAACAGACAATGCGGCGTGTATTCAGCGGTCTGAAAGAATCTCAAAGAGGGAACAATGAATAAGGGTTGCAGGCACACACCTGCAAACGCCTCGACACAATTACAATTCGCCCATATGCCCGTTACCGAGCCGCGTCTTGTCATTTATCGCTGCGGGTTCTCGACGAGAAAAACAAAAAAAAAAAAAAGAAAAAAAAGCCGGTCAAATCGCGAACAGAGAAAAATCACGCCTCTCGACGTCGAAGGCACGATAAAAAATTGATCGTGACAATTTATCAGAGTTGCTTCCAAGAGTCGTTTCCAAGAAGTCGTTGCCACTGTGATGCAACGTTCTCTCTTTCGATATTCCAACGCAAATCGTGAAGAATTGCAAATTTACCTGTTCACTCGCAGAAACGCGATAATAATAAATCGAAGGTAAAGAAGCGGCGGATAATTAGATGAGACGTGAAATTGATAATACGCAGCGCGGAATCGCGATTGAAAAGTCGAGACTATCGAATATCGTTCCAGACGTAATAAGACTTTCGATTCTCTCGATATTCGTTCGCCTTTTTTCTGTATCTTTATTAACTCGAATTCAAAGTAAATTGCAAGGTACTTTGGAACGCACGAACAAATAAATTATTCTATTCGTATTTTTTTTTTCTTTAAGTAAAAAATGTCTAGATGTCGTGAAGTTCCATCGCAAGATTGTAAAAGTGGGAAAGAGAAGCAGACGAAATGTCGAAAGTAAGAGAGAATTCTGTTTTCGAGAAACGTAACGTTCTATAGTGACGTCGGCGTAGCTAAGCCGATTTTTTTCTTCTAATTTCGACATTAATAACAGACGAATAACACGTTCGAGAATTTCGAGAGACACAGGAGTGTACGCGCGTCTCAAGACGCGTCGTAAATCTTGCCGGGATAATTTACGTGGGCGCGATGTACGGCGTCACAGGTGTCGTACAGCCTCGTAGGATCTGCATCCCAGCGCGCAAATTAACGTAATATAGAAGGAAGAAGATGGCGAACGAGACGCACGTTTTCAGCCGGGTTGTAACAAATGAAAAACAGATTTCATATGAAGGAGAGAGTAGAATTTCTAGTAACCTGTAAATTATTTCACGGTAGGAATCAAAAGACGCTTAATCCCGTCGTCAACGCTGGCCGCTGTCTCTTGCGTTCCTGAAAATTATCCTCCGTTCCAGCCAAGGTGAACAGCGCCAGTGAAATCGAGTTAAAGATTAACTGTGCCAACAAAGATTCAATTTGACTTCGAAATTCTCACTCGAAATAAAATGAATCGCTTTGAAAGTTGAACTCGGGAACTTTGTTCTCGAAAAATCGAAGTGACCTGTGACGTCGTTACAATTAAATATCGAATATTTGTTCGAGGGGGAAACTTTCACCGCAAAGTGAAATTACAATAGAGCCTGACCTGAATCAACAAATTCGACAAGTATCGTGGTGTAAAAGCCATAAAATCTTACCAAACAGCAATACCGTCTCTTCGGCGATTACGCAATCCGTCTAAAAGCATCCTGTAAGAAAAAAAGAAAAGGAGAGAGAGAGAATAAAGAAGGAACCTCCGCTTGACAAATTTACGTAATCCAAGAATAGTCGGAGCGTTCTCGTGCGTATGCGCACACGTCATCGTGCGTTGGTAGCGCTTTTTTTTTTTTCGCCGCGCACGTAGGGCCAGAAGCTCGGGAAACCTGAATCGTCGGGCCAAGAAACCAGCGCTCGTTCGACAGACATCGAGTGGCCTCTCCTCTCTCTCTCTCTCTCTCTCTCTCTCTCTC